CGTACGTACGTACGAATGTAAGATGTATCAGGAACGATGATTTTCTGCGGTGACAAAATATTACTTTGTAAAATCCTATTATTATTAAGCCGATAACCTATTATATAATTAATGGATTACAAGATGTTGTAACGGGGGTCATAATACTATTTCATTATCAGAAAAAACCTGATTATCATGTTATATGTACTTATTTAAATCCCTTGTTATTATTAAGTAGTATTATATACGTTATTATTATAGTCAGTGTTGTGCAATTTCGTTGTACGAACGTACGATGATTTTAAAATATTATTTTATAATAATATTATGCTGTCAGCCCTATTACCATTACGATTACTATAATTAAAGGTCGTAACAGATCGTAATACTACTTCGTTATCAGAAAAACCCTGATTATCATATTATACTTACATTATCCCGGGTGCATTATTGTTAGTAGTATTAGTAGTATTATTATTACCGTGATTCCTAAATTTTTTTTTCTATTTATTTATAATGAAATAAAAAAATTATCTTTACATTCTTGTTAATTATATTATCAATTCAAAATAATTAATAGTATTATTAAATATCTTCAATCATATACAGTATGTATATAGTTAATTCCACAATATAGTCAAACCTTGCCACAGTGGATGACACAAATTTTATTTAAAATCCGTTGTGGCAAGATTACTAAATACTAATACTAATCTTGCCACAGCGGATTTTTATATGTTTTTACATGTGATATACGAAGCAAAAAATTTTAAACTTCGTTATGACAAGAGTCTGATTATTATTATTATTATAGTTTGCTGTGACAAAAGTTGACGAATTTAACATATTACATTTGATCAACCAATAATAATTATCATAAATCACATGATATGTTCGTACAATGTACTAAAAAATTTAAGCTCATACGTACGTGTACGATTCCCAACCCTGGTCCAGATTGTATTAGTGTTAGTATTAATATTAATAAAATGTTACAAAAAGAGTAGTAATGCTAATAATTTACAATTCGTTTATATTTATTATAAAGTTAATTCAGTGGGTGAATACATTTAACACAACTTGCATTCCTTTTTAAAAACAAAATTCGTTTAAACAATTCTAAATCTAAACGTGATATTTTAGCAGTCGATAAATTCCCTGCAAGGTAAGTTCACTCTCATTATCATTACCGTCATCATTGCCATTGTAATTATATTCGTTATTATCATTATTCATTGTAAGTAATCTTACAAACTAGTAAAGAAGCAATGGAAATAAAAACATCGAAAAATGAATTAGATAAAGATGATAAAAAGTATTATTATTATATACACGGATCATCCGGGTATCCTATAACAATAACAATAATAATAATTTCTAAAATTTCAATCCGCGCATTTTAAAAAGCCATCCGTCCGGATTGATCATCCACGAATTGCATCTCTAACTTAGACAAAATCAACACTAGAAAAATAAAAATGGGTGTTGGTTGGATACAAACAAATCAAAAAAATGAACCATTAACCTTCTCAGCATCAGTTGAAAATTGGCCTTCTTCAACAAAAACAGAGGTGTTGGCTATACTATCTGTACCACCTGTCACTCCACTGAGAGTAATATTACTATTTTTAGTGACAGTGAAACCACCATAAAATTATTTGACAGATTTATAATAAAAATGAATATATAAGTACAGGAAGATTTATGAAAGAAATTATTATTTATTATAAGGCATAATACAAGATACAGTATCTGAACTAAAGCGAAAATACCAATAAAGAATGTGAAAGCACAAAATGCTATTTTTTTAATGAAAAATCAGACTATTTATCAAAATTAGGTTTGGACTCTGATCTGTTGGAAATCAAATACCAAGTTTTAAGTATCAACCATCTTTAAATAATATAAAAGTTGAAATATCATTAAGGCTCTTTTTAAAAAATTGCTCAGAAGTAAAAGGCTTTTTAATTTGGAAGTAAAAAAGTAGAAATATAAAATATGACAAATCAGAATAAAAACTCTAATTAGCTGGCCAATGGCTTGGATAATATTAAATTTTAATGGTGAAGAAAATACTAAAACATCATTTAATGCTATTAATAAAAAGTCCTTCAAGTTAAAAAGTTAATAGAGGAATTACCAATTATTGAAAGCCTTAAATTGTGAAGTCCAGATCTATATAATAGTAATTGGAAACGTTGCCTTTGCAACAAAGAAAATGAAGATTTTTCACATATTTGGATATGTGAAAAACAAAGAGAAACAATTAACAATATAATTCAAGGGTTAAAAAAAGACCCAGTAAAGCAAATAAAAGAAATAAATCATTTGGCTCCTGGAAATATGTTTGATGAGAAGACAAAAACCAAATCACATTCAATGATCTGATAAAAGGAACTATACCAAAAGACCTTTATGATCACATGAAATTTTATATAAAAAAAGAAGAAAAAATTATGTAATGTCATGGAAAATGTGAATGTTTTAATCAAAGAAAAAATATGGAAAGCATTTTGTCAGGACTGTCACACCTTCAAACACTAATATTATTGAAGATCTTATAAATAACTATCTCCATATTACAATTTATAATATTCAGCAAATGGTTTCCATCCCAACTGAAAGCATTGAAACCATCTTACATGAGGAAATTTCTGTCAGGAAGGTGTGTGCAAAATGGGTTCCTTACGCTCTTACTAATGAAAACAAGCAAAAACAATTTAAGGTTTCAAAGCAATTGTTTGGGTACCTTGAAAATGGGTTTCGAAATATTATTACTGGGGATGAAACATGGCTTCATTTCTTTACAGTCTCATCTAAAGATGCCAATGAGGTTTGGCTAAGCAAAGTAGAAAGCTGGCCACAAATTATAAGAATAGCTCAAAATAGGAAAAAACAAATTTTTTGCATTTTCTTTTCAGCTGATGGGGTTGTGGCAAGCATTGTGGTGGAGAAAGGACATACAGTTACTAGTAATTACTAATCTCTTGTGCATACATCAATCTTTTCAATCAAGAAAAAATAATTTTCATTAATCATTAGAAGCACCTTGTTTCTTTTTGTTCCATTCTTCCCAAAAATTCTGTTTAGTAAGAGTTGAGCTTTCTTGGCCCTGTATGTTATGTATGCTCTCTACATTCGTTCAGCTCATTCATTCTGAATATGAACATGATAATGACAATGAGTACTTTCTATAGGACGTTTTATTTCCATACTATTGTTTTATTGACAAATATAGGAAAAATACAGCCCAAATTTGTTTGGTGATTTCAATGGTCAAAACTATTCCAATTTTAGTGGTAGAAAGTAGAAATTTAATTACGGTACTCACTATTAATAACATAAGTGTAACCACCTTTATGACAATGTCAAAATACTTTGGGCTGCATGTATAATAATAATAGAAGAATATACTAAACAATGACAACATCATCAGTATAATAACAGTTTTGATATTTTTGGTAAAGATAGGTGTATTGATAGATGATTTGGTTATACCTTTTACTGCTGATAGATTTTTATATATTGCTACAGTTGGTGTCACACCTGAATTAATGTTTTTGAAAGTTTTACAAATGATCTTAATCTTGAAAAATTTTCTACAATGTTCATTTGTGTTATGATGGCAATTCTTACTTGGAATGAAGCATAAAATTCAAAAGTTAATTTCTTAAAATTAAACAGTTTAATATATAGACATAACTATATAATATTTCACTAGGATTTTTTGTACCTTTAATCATTCATTCATTATCTTTATTAGTGCTCGTTTCAATAATATTTTCAGATTTGACTTGCATGTTTGAAATTTTTCTTGCCAATACAATATATGCTAGTCCTGGCACTGGGAAAACCTGTTTAAAAAATTGCCTTCACTATTAATCTCAAGAAATCTCTTCTCTCACAAAAAAATATATACTTACATTTGATTCTTACATGTGGAATGATACTTGTTAAAAATAAAGTTTCACATTTTTATATAACGTTTTTTATACAGATGGATTATTCTTATAATTTGTTTTTACTAATATTTAATTCTACTAACTGATGTCAACCATCGAAGAAAAGTTATTATTGACAGTAGAAGTTATGGTTATAAGTGTTGCTGTTTTATATAGAAATTATATGCTGATAAAGTTCATGGTGTTGTATTTAACAAGTTCACCGCACCTTTTAAAATTTATCATATTTATATTTGACTTAAGTTCAAATTGATCAACAAATTTAAAGGACCCGGTAGATGTTAAAGCAACTTCCCTATAAAGGGTGTAGATCACTCCCAAATAAAAATTAAAAAAACAGTTGATTGATAACTAATAATGACCTTAGCTTTAAAACTGAGTATTTTATATATAGAAATGGTTCGTGGGTACACTGTATATAGGAAAAATATATGCTTTTCGTATAACAAAATTTTTTTATTGAATCCAAATTTTATTAGAATAAAAAAATTTGTTATAAAAATAATTTATGAATGAGAAAGGAGAGGAAATACAAATTACCAAATCTACTTTTTCAATTGATCAACAAGTCCGCATCAACAATAATAAACTATTAATAATAACGGTATTAAACGTTATTCTTTCTTGGTTTTTTCCCTCTTTTGTTGCCTTCTCTGCCTTCCTTTTCCTTTTCTTTATCATCATATGATCTATTTCTTTTCCTCTTATTAATCTGAATAAATTAATAAACAAATAATCTATGAGCATTAAAATAAATGTGGTAGTAATAATATAAATATAACATCTTACTGAATTGTTTTCATTATTCAAATTTGACATTAAATGTTGTGATGATGATGATGTTTGTGCATTCGATGATGATGTGCCATTATTATGTCCTGTTAAAAGATTTGAATCTATCATAGAATTATCCATAAGGTTTATTGTACCATTTCCATATGATAACGGTTCTATTATATTAGTCATGTCATAATATGATTGTCTAAAATATTAAAAATTAAATAAAATATTAATCAATTAATCCAATACGAAATAATATATTTATAATATATTTACTTACATTGGTATGTGTTGTTGGATTTGATTGTCCATTAAAGCTAATGGGTATTGATTAGCGGCATATAATTTCAATTCCTTCTCTCGTTCTGCTGCATCTTCGTCAGTTTTCACTTTCTCAATTATAGCTCGAATATCTGACGGTATAATTTCTAAAATATCTTCACTTAATTTTGCTATCATATCCCTTGGTTTCTCTTCAATATATGTTATCATTCCTGGTGGTTCCATACGATGTTGTGGTATGAACTCAACATTCAAATATGTTGACTGAGTGTCATTAGGAAGCTGTACAATGTTTGTATGCGGGTCATAGTGGTATGGTTTTTCTTTCCTATTCACCTTTAACCGAGCATTATAATCTCTTACTGAAACTAACCTGTGATGTTGCAATGTTGCTTCATCCAAGTTTTTTAATTTATTTTTGGGTCTCTTGAGATTACATTGTTTAGATAGAATGTTACAAACATCTTCATGATCGCTTATATCATCATCTCGACTTCTCCTACCGCCGTGTACTATTTTTGTTCCAAAAATAAAGTATGCCAGCCAAGCATACACAATTGTGGCATTGCGGGACCTGGTAAAATGGTCTATCAGCCCTAATTCACATAAATAATTTTTCTCTTCATCAGTGGTTGGTAGTAACTTTAATATGGGATTTCTTAGATGTAGCAAATAACTGTCATTGAATCCCAAGGTACTTGCTACATCTGATGACAACATGAACCAGTCATCATCGCGACTTGATAATTGGAATACAGGGATTTTGAATTTATATCCTAAAGATGAAATATATAAATATTTTTATGCATATTAATTAGATGTATAAATATAAAATAAATATAGGTATTTCATTAATTGAATATTATATAGATATTATAAACCTTACCCTTTTTATTACTTTCATTATCCAAGGTAATAATTACCATCTCCTCATCGTCAACAGTCTCCTTCCTGACTGTTGGTTGATCCTTCAAAAATTGATCTCTTATTGATAAATTGTCCATTTGATCCTTATTACCATCACTGTCACTACCACCATTGCCATTACTACTGATATTATTATTACTAATATTATTATTATTACTATTATTATTATTATTATTATTATTACTATTATTACTATTATTATTATTATTATTATTATTATTATTATTATTATTATTATTATTATTATTATTATTATTATTATTATT